CTGGTTATCTGCCCAGGCAGAGCAGTGGTGAGCTAGGGTGAGGTTTTTGTTGTGGTAGGAGCAAGTTTGAATGCAATGAGTTGGAAGGTACCCAAAGAGTCACCTAGTCCAACCCCTGCAGTGCAGGAGTATTTTTTAATATTGCTGATGGACCCAATGGCTTTGGCACAGTCTGACCCTCTTCTCTTAGCCCATGACTTCCTACATCCTGCAAGAGGAACAACTGAGTTTCATTCAACGTTAAGCGAGCCAAATCTCTCAGAATAACTTTTTTCTAAGAAAAATCTGTTGGAAAATTTCACCCCCCCCCATGCCTCCCTGACCACAAATAATATGGTTTTTTTAAAGAGGCTAGTTTACATTCTGCCCTACAAAGAATTGTTAGCAGAATCACTACAGTTGTAAAATGTGTTGGCAGTTATAGGCGAGTAGAACGGATATAAATTTGCAGTCAGTACCCTTGCGGTGGTGTACTGCATTTGTGATTCATGTCATTCATGACTGATTTATATTTCACTGAATCCTCTTCTTCCCCACTCATGACACATCCCACCCCATCTAAATACACCCCTGCTTATTTATTTATACACTGAATTACTTTATCAAAGCACAAGGTGGTTCTGAGTTCATTTCACATCCAGCCACTGACCAGACTCTGACCAGATTAGTTTCAGCACTCTGTGCCTTCATACTATGTCTAAGGAGCTGGAAAAGACTTCCTGTTGCTCCCCTTCCCTTTTTTAGTTCACATTTTCAGGAGCGCCACTTTCACTTACCACCTTTTCCTCACAATGTTTCTGTCTTTTGAAAAAGGAGCAGGAATATGAAAACACAGCTCCCTGTTATATAGCTAGAAATGGCTGACCCCACACTGGGCTAAGGTCAGTGGGACAAAAAGAGATGATGAATGGAGTCACAAAAAACCAACAACCCAGCTGCCGAATGTGACAGAATTTGACAAATCACTTCGGCATGATCGCCAAAGTGGAGACAAACAAATAGCTATTCCTGCATGTAGGAGGAATGTTGGCATGGGGGAAATGACTGAATGGGTGGCACCTTATCAACTTAACCTCTTCTCTCTCTTTTTGTTACATAAAAATGATGCTCCAAAGCAAATCACTGCCAAATCTGTACAAAATCTAAGGATGGCTGAGAAGCTGAGAATCTTTAAGGGACCCTGATTAAATTTGTGGCCAGGTGATCTATTAAATATAAAAAAACGAGAATTGTTTATCTTGCACTCAATGGACACAATTCAACAAGGAGTTAACCATGCTGAAACTCTCAGATTTTAATAGGCTTACTTCTGTGTTGGTTTAGGGAAAATTTGCAGCGGCTTAGGCATTTCAAAAAGTAAACCCAGACGGTTTACTTTGGTGCTCTTTGCAGATTTTGTAGCTCTCATCATCTGAGGCCCTTGTTCATGTGCCTCCTCTGCAAGTAATCCAGAGGGTCGCAATATGAGAGCAGGCCTTTTATGTGGTGGCTCCCCCTTGTGGAATGCCCTTGTGGGACTGTACTTCACCTATCCGCAATGTTGGGTGCTTTGATTTTCTCTCAATGTATGTACTTACCATATTGGGTCAGTGACAATACTGAACTATATGGATCAATGGTCTGATTCAGTGTAAGGTGGCTTCCTAAATTCCTAACCCCCTTGTCTTCTTTTATTCTAAGGATGGGTGCATTAGGCATTGATTGGCTGGAGCAAGTCATTTTTGCATTAGTTGATCGCCGAAAAAGCAACACACATTTCTGTAACAAACCACCAATACAGTTGACCCACACCTAGATGGTGTTTGGCTCCCAGCAGTTTTTGATACATGAGAATACTCTTATCAATCTGCTGTGCCTAAAGCAATCTTCCAGTGGTTTTCTGACTACAAAGATAAAGGAGCTTAAAAAGCTAAAGAGGCTGAGAACTAAGTTATTGCCATGTTCACTCATAAATACAGAGCTTTGTTAAGTAATATACCACCAATCACCTTGCAGTGCTCCAGAAAGCTATCTGCTAGGCACTCTGGTCCTACCTGTCTGGCCCATATTTCTTCCATGGCACCGTTAAATACACTGAGCCTTTCTTATCACGATATTTGTGCCATTTTAATAGCTTGAGGATTGCCCAAGAGACCCTGTGATTCAAACATCTTTATATCTGATCTCAACTTTGGTCAATTTAAGCATCCTTTGGGGTAGCAGAAAGGGGACTAAGATGGTAAAGGCTGAGATGGTGACAGTTATAGGTAATGAAATAATAGCCATCTGTGAGCTAAGGGAGCTATATTTTTGTTTTCCCTTGGTAAACTTTCCACAGAACAAATATAAGGTTGATTATTTGTATCCAGTCATAAGACCATCACAAAAGAAAGTTTAACAGTATGAAGCAATACAAGGTAACATCAATAGACGTTAACTCGAACCCAGATAAACCGCAACATAAACAGACTAAAGATGCTGAATTTCTTTGGCTTTTAAAGTGTGTGTGTGTGTGTGGGGGGGATATTACACTTTTTTTTTACAAATATGAAAAAGAAATATTAAAAAATAAAATGGAAAGGAATACAATGTGCAAATCTGTTTAAAATGATGTAAAACTTAAATAAATGATTGAAAGAGTTCTTAAACTTAAAATTCTGAAATCTCCTTGGCAAGATACAGCATTCCCTCCTAAGATTTTTTTTCCTCCTCACTAGTTACCACTGATAGAAAATGCACAGTCTACTTTGTTGTATATTTCTCTTGCCTACCCTGTAAATAAATTACAGATTCCCCTTCTATCTCTAAAATTTGTTCCAAGCATAAGTAAAATTCCAGCTGCTCTGCCATACTATTCAGAGGAATCACAATGCCAGTACTGAATTTCTCATATTGCAATTAATCCTGTGCTAAAAACCCCCCCCAAAACTCTTTTGTGTTATTTTCTACCCTCACCCATCAATTAGTGGAGAAACAAATTGTTTGCAAATTGTGCATTGTGTACACTGACTGGCAGCAGCTCTCCAGGATTTCAGACAGTTAAAATGAGTATCCCTTTTGTGCTTGGTCTGGATTGAGACTTCAGTATGCTGATAAGACTTGACCCTATGACCCTAACCCCTCCCTCCCTCCCTCCCTCCCTCCCTCCCACCAGAATCAGCCTCCTGACCCACTATCTGCAACTACCACCACCCCAATTGTAAATTGTGTGAGTGAAGTCACATTTATTTTGCTGGGCCCCAACCCAACTTGTCTCTCAATGTTATTGTAAAAGAATATACCGTATTGTACATATATGCTCTAAAAGAAGTGCAGTGTTTTTGTTTTGTTTTTTGTATATGTGTGTGTATTACTGGTTACATGACACTGTGTTGCTGGAGATGGTTGAATAAGCTGGTTGTAAATGATGCTTCATGCTGCAAGGGACTTTTTGTAGATCAGACTTTGTTGTTGTTTAGTTGTTTAGTCGTGTCTGACTCTTTGTGACCCCATGGACCAGAGTACGCCAGGCACTCCTGTCTTCCACTGCCTCCCGCAGCTTGGTCAAACTCATGTTGGTAGCTTCGAGAACACTGTCCCACCATCTCGTCCTCTGCCATCCCCTTCTCCTTGTGCCCTCAATCTTTCCCAACATCAGGGTCTTTTCCAGGGAGTCTTCTCTTCTCATGAGGTGGCCAAAGTACTGGAGCCTCAGCTTCAGGATCTGAGATCCTCAACCAATCATTTGTCACAAAGTAAAATAAAAATAAAAATCAGACTTTACTTTGTGACAAATGATTGGTTGAGGATTAGCTGTGTTATAGGTATGGTTGGTGGGAATGGCTGAGTGAGGTTTTTTATGGAAAGGTGTTAAGGATATGGTAGGAGATGCTATTGAAGGTTTTGCGGGTGCAGCTTCTATTTCCATTATTTTGTTTGGCTGCTAATTACATTTTATATGCAGATGTTTTATTTATTGTATTTTCATATTTGATTTTTTCCTTGTAATTTTTTTAAAAATGTTTAAGATAATGTTTTGTATTCCTGTCAGTTTAAATGAAGAATACATAAACTGCTCCTATTTTACAGATGGGAAAATGAAACCAAGGAAGTACTTACAGGGCCATACATATTCACTCACTTGTTGAATATATCTTTTGACTATACTTTCATGTAGTATTATCTGAAATTTTATCCCATCCTAATAATCTATCAATGGCTAAATTGCTCTGGGGCATGGTGAGTCTAATATTTCATTATGCAAGGGTACATTCTGAAGAAATGCTGAAAAACTTTCCACTGATCTTCAGAAGAGGATTCAACTCATGCTTGAAATAAAATTGCCTCAATAGGCATGTCCTGAAAGCAAAGCAATTGTTGTCTATTTGTTTATTTTATAAAGACCTGCTACTGTCTGTGAATATGATGAGCTTATGAAAGTTGCCCCCCCCAAAAAAATAAACCCATTTGTTTAAAGTAGTTCCACATACTTCAAAAGTATTTCAGCCTCAAATCTCGGCATTAATGTCTTTTCCCTAAGTTTTATGCTAAGCCTCTTTAGTTCAACAATGGAAACATTTAACTTCACAGTTTGACAGAGCAATGTATTTGCAATGCCATAGATGACTGTGTCATTCATTATCATTAAATTAAAACAGTTTCTGGGAAGCACTGTGTGAGGTGTTAGCAATAAAGTCCTTTTCTCTCCCTTTTCTTCCAACTTTTTAAAAATGTTCATTTCCTTGTCATGAATTGGTAGAGCCATAAGAATAAAAGCCCTGCTGGATCAGACCAAAGGCCCATCTAGTCCAGCATTCTTTTCTCACAGTAGCCACAGATGCCTTTGGAATCCCATTTCCCTTTGCAAAGTTAAACAGTGTGAGATTCTATTAATAGACATTGATTAACATTGAGAAGAAGCTTGGTATATCAGGCCTATAGGAACATAGGAAGCTGCCTTATTCTGAGCCAGACCATTGGTCCATATAACTCAGTATTGTTTACACTGATTGGCAACAGCTTTCCAGTGTTTCAGCCCTAGCTGGAGATACTGGGAATTGAACCTGAGACCTTCTGCATGCAGAGCGGATGCTCTACCACCAAGCTATAGTCCTTTACCTATGCCACCTATACCATGCAGCCATCTCTGGGAAGCCCAGAAGCAACATAGCTCTCCCTTTCTCAGCCCCCATGGGTGAAAGGAGATGCCATTCTGGTAAGTGTGATCTGATTGGTTGCTACTTGTTCATCCTTCCCTGCAGTTCAGCATTTGCTTGCCTATTCTGGGTCTTGAGCAACCTACTGAGGCAAGCCAGTGTGTCCATTGGGGTCAGTAGGACAAAAGCTGGGAAGCCAGCAAGGAGTAGGTAGAGCCACAGCTAATAATGGAATTATCTAATTCTAGGTTTGTTACCATCCTACTCCCTGTTGAATTACACAAGGGCAAAACTGATAATAAGGAGGCTGTCTGTGGACAAACGCCGGCTCCCTCGGACTGAGATGTGCGCCGCAACCCCATAGTTGCCTTTAACTGGACTTAACCGTCCAGGGGCCCTTTACCTTTTACCTTTTACACTCTGTTGAATTACACAAGGGCAAAACTGATAATAAGGAGGCAAAAGCCAACACCCAGGGCCATCCCCTGAACTGTTTATCAGAAGGCAGGCAATTGGCGGTTGACTGAGGTTGATGAGTCAGTACCCTGTTTGTTTTAATGAAACAGCCTCCACTGATAATAAAAAAAATACAGGAACATACAAGAGATCAGGAAGACCTTGCTGAAGCAGAGCTCAGACAGAATGGAAAGACATTCTGCCCAGAATGATCCAGTAATCAGGCAGATTGGGCAAAGTCAGTCTAGGACCATAAGGTTCTTCATTTAGAAGCCACTATCTACCATTCAGTGGTTCACAACAGTTCCTGATACACCTGGAAGAGGTGAAGAACCCCTGCTACCCATATAGCAGGATGTACCTAAATTCTATTTGGAGTGGACCCATTGAAAGCAAAGACATAGCTAACTAAGATCCATTAATTCCAATGGATCTGGTCTGAGGAGAACTTATTTGGATGCAGTCCACATAATATAATGTGCACAATGTGTAGGCCCATAGGTGCATAGGTTTGAATTGTATAGTATTGGGGGATGGAAGCATTTTGCAAATGAGACCTATACATGTTGCCTTATCATATGCTGTGGATAGGGGATGTACATTGTCATCTTAAGCAAATGGAGATTAGTTTTTGACCAAGAAAATGTGAAAACTTTCCCTGGAGATGGAGTTTCAACCTAACTAGGGTGTTATAATTTCTGAGACATGGCACTGGGGACACCCAATTCATGGGCAATGTCCCCCCACTCCTGTATGTGGAGTATTGGGCTGTGTTTCTGTTGCAGGTCCTTTTATAAGTTCCAGAGAAAGTTAAACGCTTGGAAAGGTAAAAGCAAAGCAGAGATAATTCTTGTCAACTTTCCAAGCTGGGTAGAAAGTCTCAGAGCTAACAGTAACACAGTGAATCCTTTTTGCAGCCCTGGATTAGAAAACGAAAGTGGATTTTAAAACTATCTCAAGCCTTTGAAGGGATGCTCAGCATCTATGAAATGAACCGATTGGGGGAAGTTTTAAAAGGATTATACCAATGATTACACTGAAATGACACTGCCACTTAGAGACTGACTTGTAATATCTTGGAGGTTAAAGAAAAGGCAGCAGAGATAGAAAGTTGTTTTAGCACTAAAGGGCAGAAAAATTACAGTGTGAGAAGCTGAAATGTTAGGATTTCCACAAAGTTTGGAACAGCACACTGGTTGCAAAAGTGGGTAAGTCAGAAATGGAATTATTGAATGCAGCGCGTATCATCATCATCATCACATCATTTATATGAATGCCATTAAAGGTTTGTATGGAATAAAACCAGTTTTTAAAAAGTCATTTAAAGCTTTCTACTAAACATTTTTGCTTGAAAGCACATCCCACTGAGATCAACTGGAAGCTGCCTGACTAAAATGCTTACCATTAAAGCCCCAAGGATAGATGTTCTCCTGAACAAGCTCCACATAATTTGTCACATGCCTCATTGGGGAAGAGGGACATGGAATCTTATACTGTCTGGAACTTATGCTCTAAGGAAAATATATTCACATAGCATCAGATGAAGAGCATTCTGAGAAGAGTGCTCCATAACTAGGGTGTCATCACCAAGAAGGCCTTTTCCTTAGTTGCCACCCACATCATGTCACTAGGTGGATGAATCTGGATAGGTGCCTCCAGTGCAGATATTTAGGTCTGGACTCCAAATTATTCAGATGCACTTAACCCCAAGATAATACTAGTGCTTTCTCCTGGGCCTGGAAATGGGCTGAAAGCCAATACATATTATTTTATTCAATATAAGAAACTTCTAACTGGAGGCATAATATAATAAACGTAATACAAAATAAAACTACAGTTAAAACTGTTAACTTTAAATCATGAGGACTATAGCATGATGAAAATACAATGATACATTCCAGTCAGTGGCGGAGCAAGGTCAGGTAGTACCTAGTGTGGAAAATTTCTTGTCACCCACCCAATTGATTTTTTTCCCCTGCAACAATGGTTTGACTTTATTACATTGGGGGGGGGGAGCCAAAGTTGTTGAGGCGTGCTGCAATGAGGAGCCTGCTGGCCGCCATACAGCTGAGGAAGAGCCAGCGGGCAGACAATTTCGGCAGCAGGAAGCCTGCTCACGCCAAAACAACAGTGTCCCTCACAGCCATTGACTGCCACACAGCATTTTGTCACCCACCTCAGAGGTGGCACCCGGGGTGCACCACACCCACCTTGTGATGCCTCTGATTCCAGTGCCTGGCAATAATCCTGCAGCACTATCTGCACTAGCTGGTGTTTCTAGATCATTTTCAAAGGCAGACTCACATAAAAAGTATATTATTTACTGCTGACAAGTCCACTGCAAGCTCCTTCACCCCATATAAAACAGCCCAAAACATTTTTTCTGAGTAAAATAACAAGGAAGAAAAACACAAATATACACTTTTTCAATTTATTACTGGGGGGTGTCTCAAAAAATAATGATGATCCTGTGATGGATTCTCCAGATTCTGCAGGCTAGTTCAAACACGCATACCAGAACTTGATGTCCACAGAATGAAGTGATGATGACTTGCATACATGATCCAATACTACACACTAAACTTTCTTATCTCCTCAGTCACAACACATTTCATGGGTGCTGCTTCACATATTCCACTGCTTCTCAAGAGAAGAGAAAGACAGTGATATATATATATATGTATGAATTGGCCACTGGTTGCTTATAAGATTCTTCAAACTAGTTCAGTTGCAGTAGCTGAATTCATGCCTAGATAATGACCTCACCTTTGTTTGCCTTCTGAAATATAATTAATACTTGAAATTAGTGGATGTTCACTCTCTGCCGCCTACTCCGTCTGCAAACTTGTTTTTATCAGCGTCAAGAGCCATCAGCTGTGGATTAGACTCAATTTGCCCTCAACTCTTCATGGCATTTGGACAAATCCCACCTAGAGACCTCAATAGAGACACCAGACTATTAGATTCACAGGCTTCTTCCCCCTTGGCATTTAGAGATTGTCACAGATGTGAAAAAAAGAAAGAAAGAAACATCTGAAAATGTAAGTCTTGGGTTATTATTTGTTATTTTGTCAGCTTAGTAATATGATGCACAGATCCTAAAGTCTAAACAACCTGAAGATGGTCAGCTGTTATGATTTTCCCTAGAAACCAACACTGAAATAGCAAATAATGAAAATAGAAGCATGGGATATGTTCCCTGTATACAATGACCAAACTTTTAATTCACTTATACAAAATGTAAGGATAATTGTACACTATAATCCATAATCAAATGTTTAGTTTCAGATATTTGGAGGCACAATCAGTTGAAAATCTTTGTGAAATAAGTTATCCCACTGAAATAAATAGGATCTGCATAAGAACATAAGAAGAGCCCTGCTGAATCAGGCTAAACTTCATTTAATACAGTGGTGGGAAGCTTCCAGCCTCAAACCATTTCCTGCAAACCATGGCCATTTGCCCCACACCTGACTTCAGGAAGAAACACAGCTAGATCAGCTATGTGACTGAATTTTGATCCAACATAGCTGGATCAGCTGCGCAATCAAGGTCCTCATGGGAAACTAAGTTGTATAGCTGATCCCTACAGAAAGGAGGGCTAAAGAAGGAGCTAGGACTTGGATATGTAAGGAAAGGATCTGGTGAAATCTGTCTTGCCCACATTTCCAGCGGAAAAGCAACAACCACTTCCTTCTTGAGCCTGAGACTGGCAGTGTGGAATACCCAGAGACAGCTTCTCCTGACTTTGACCTCCCCTCTGCAGGAATCAAGTTCCATCATGCCAAACCACTCCCTAATGCCTGATCAACAGTGCAGACTACACACCAGGAAGGTGTGAGGTTTGGAGCTTACAGGGTTAGCAGCTCTGTGTGTCCTGCATCTGGGGAGGAGCTTTCTCTACATCCAGAAAAGCTGAGTTATTTGTCTGTGAGTTACGGTACTTTCATTTTTCTGCTGAGAAGCAGAGACACCATGCCTGCTGTCTCAGATGGTCTGTTTGTTATTTTACTATTCTGCTGTTAATAAAGCTGTTAGTTTAGAGGAACAACAGTGTGTGGACTCTCTCTTCTGCTAGCTCACTCACACAAATAGCACTCGCTGTGCCGCTCTGCTACAAGTCCGGGAATTCTGTTGCTGTGGAAACGTACCGGACCCAACAGAAGGAATGAAAGGAACTTCCTGGCCCCAAACTGAAGCTTCCTCAACCATCAATGGTGAAGTCTAGGAAGGGAAATCAAGGCCTAGAAGTATATAAAACATTATCTGGAGCTAGGGCACTTTTGGAGCAAGCTGTTTCCTCCTGATGATCTGTCCATGGTCCTGAAGACCTTGTGCTTGACCCCCCCCTTGCTTCTTTTGCATGTCAGATTGCTATCAGTTGCCTTTCTCTGTCTGAATCACACTGGAGTGACCTCCTCATTTATATGAATTCTCCTACCATCCTTGACTGTTGACTTGATCCTTGATCCTTGACTGTGGACTCTACTACAATGGACTG